CCTTGCAACTCCCCAACAACAACACCACACACACACACACACACACACACACACACACACAGAGCAAGCATTGGGTTCAGCCTTCCTATCGGGGTAACCAGGGAAAATTGGGAAAATAGAGGGGCCCCTATTTTCCCTAGGGGTTTTCTTCCATCTCACTCCAGTCCCGTGGTTGGTGAGAAGAGGGATCTCACCTGTCCATCTGGTTTTTCACCTGGCCTTGGACTGGGATCTGGATCAAACGACCAGAGCTTATTCCATCAGTCTGCTCACACCTTTCTGAAATTACTGGGGTGTTCTCCTGCCTCTAAGAATTACCATTGTCTGGAATTACTGCAGCCAGGAGAACAGGTGGAGAACAGATTAAACATCAAGAATTAAGATTAATATTTAGTTAAGATTAATATAATATTGTAAATCAATATACTTCAACTTTAAAAAAATTAAGATTAAAATATGGCCATTAGAGTTCTTGAGTATAAGTTCTGCTCTGAAACACCATTTGTATTTTAATAAATAGTTAAATACTTGGGAATAAATAGTTGAAATGTCCTCATTGAGTGGCCATGAGAATTAAATCAGATCATATATGGAAAGGGCCTAGCATAAGGTCCAGGATCCAGTGAGAAATGAAATTTAAAGAAAATTTCAGCTTCCTTAGCTCTTTAAATTGGTCTGCATGGCTGTTAAGGCCAGGTTTGAATCAGACCAAAATCTACTGTACTCTAATGATTTTTGATTCTAATAAAGATATCAATCTTTGTGGTTTCTCCTGGAAGGGGCCCAAATAGCTCTTCCATACAAGATTTGCTTCCTACAACTTAGTTTCAATCTCCCAGAGTACCGTGTAGCACAGTCATGGCATTTTTGGCACTCAGGGTTTGGAGAATCTTTCAATGTGCCAAGTGAGAGTTCACAAGACCTCCGCCTGGTAGAGTTGAGTAACAGAAGCAACTAGTGCTCTCTCAGTAATTCACATGCTCTCCTTTATTCTCCACCCAAACTAGGAGCAGAAATAACACTGCATTTCCAGGTAAGGCAGTGAAAAGCCAGTGTGCCTCCTTCTCCCTCCCCACTTCTTTTTTCAGGGTGATATCAAATCTTATAAAGAAGTGTGGTATATACATACAATGGAATACTACTTAACTATAAAAAGGAATGAAATATTGTCATGTGCAGCACCAGGGACAGATTAGAGATTCCCATACTAAGTGAAGTAAGTCACAGTGAGAAAGACAAATATATGATATCACTTATATGTGGAATCTAAAAAATTATGCAAATCAATCTACATACAAAAAAACCAGATTCGGACATAGAAAATAAACTTACAGTTATCAAAGGGGGGCAGGGGGAAGGGGTGGATAAATTAAGAGTATGTGTTAAGAGATACATATGACCTTATGTAAAATAAACAACAAGGGTTCTTGCATATGGAACAATATTCAATATCTTATAATAACCTATAATTGTTTTCAGCTTTCTTAAAGCTGAGCGCTGAAGAATTGATGCATTTGAACTGTGGTGTTAGAGAAGACTTTTGAGAGTCCCTTGGACTGCAAGGAGATCCAACCAATCCATCCTAAAAGAAAATCAGTCCTGACTATTCATTGAACGGACTGATGCTGAAGCTGAAACTCCAATACTTTGGCCACTTGATGTGAAGAACTGACTCCTTAGAAAAGAGTCTGATGCTGGAAAAGGTTGAAGACGTGAAAAAAGGGGACAACAGAGGATGAGATGGTTGGATGGCATCATCAACTTGATGGACATGAGTTTGAGCAAGCTCCGGGAGTTGGTGATGGACAGGGAAGCCTGGTGTGCTGTAGTCCATGGGGTTGGAAAGAGTAGGACACCACTGAGCGACTGAACTGAACTGAACTGAACTGAACCTATAATGGAAAAGAATCTGGAAAAGTATATTTTAAAAATTGCTTATATGTTCCAAATTGTGAACTACAAATGGCAAGTGGAGAAAAAATAAATCCTGGGTGCCTGACTGACTGTTTGGAATAAGCCTCCAGTTCACCCAATCCAACCCACACTCAGATAGTAACACAAGAGAGAAATAAACATTTGCTGATATTTGAGATTGAATTTAATACCATAATAACCCTAGGGAAATAAATTAGTTCTAGAGAACTTGTAAAGATAAAATTAAAAGGGACTTCGGCATCCATTAATGGCAGACTAGGTAGTTCAGACCAACTCCACACTAGAAAAAACAACAAAAAATGTTTTTAATGTCTGCTCAAAAGCATTGTGGAACCATCATGGCAGTGAAAAATCACCTGGCCACCATCTGGCCATCTGGGAGAAGATGAAAGTCCAGAGAAGTAAGCCTGACATTTGAGGCCACTTTTCTCCGGGGAGCATTTGCTAATTACAACAAAGCTAGTATTTGATATCTGAGTAGTTTGATAACCTGGTATAGACATAAAAGTTGGATGCTAGGGAAAACACAGTAGTGTGGGGTGGGACCCTGAAGTATTGTATTTCAGGAACAAGAGTGAATTGAAAGAAAAAGAGCCTCCACACTGCCTATAGCCCAACTTCAGATCATCTGGGTAGCCCAGAATATCTCAGGCCTTTCAACTGGATTAAAGAGAGTCCAGATTGCTAACGCCTTCAGGCTCTTGAAAGAAGCAAATGAAAATCCTTTCTGGAGAAAAAGGAAGTAGAGAATGGCTGAAAATTTTCCAAAAGTGATGTAAGACATTGAGCTCCAGATTGAAATAAAATTAAGTGGACCTGGCAGGGAAGAGAGAAAAGGCTACTTTTTTAAAAGTCAAAGATGACTCAAAGATTTAGCTCCAGTGAAAGGGTGATGTAATTAACTGAGATAAGAAGCAGGGAGGGAGGAAAAGGTTTGTTGAGCTCAGAAGGAATCAAGTGTGAAATAGAAATAGTAGATTCCAATTTTTACTTTGAATTTAACACCCAGGCAGGGATAATAAATGTGTCATTATTTCTTAAACAAGTCCTACTTTTCTTGTTATGCTCATGTTCCAAAACTTTCATTGTTTAAAAAGGACCAGTCAAACTTTCTTTTTTTTTTTTATTTATTTTTATTAGTTGGAGGCTAATTACTTTACAGTATTGTAGTGGTTTTTGTCATACATTGACATGAATCAGCCATGGATTTACATGTATTCCCCATCGCGATCCCCCCTCCCACCTCCCTCTCTACAGTCAAACTTTCTTGTCTCAAGAATCTAGCACCTCAGGTCGCCTTCTCTTCTTGCTAGAATCCATAGTTTGCCTCTAAGAACTGACCTGCAAATGAATATTTGCAGCAAAATGTACAGTAAATTTCAAACCATTCAATACACTTGCCTGATGTTCCAATATAATTATTTGTTCATTGCAACCTTCACTAAACCCATCACAACAAAATAATGTGTTGTCTAGTTTTTAACACCATGACTTAGGACCCCATTTTTTTAAATACTGTAAGGACAAGTGACAGGTGCCCTAAAGGCTTTGATTTATCAAAGTAATTTATCAAATTTCTACATATGCTGCTGACTTCAAATGTTGGAGTAAGTACAACTTTGTGTCACAATCTGCAATACTGCTTTAAGGATTACCACGCGTTCTTAAAATAGCTATTGATGTCATTAACAGAAGAAAAAAGAAAACACTGGCTATCATAAATTTCTCTCTCTCTTTTTTTACTTAGAAAATGGCACGACTTTCACAATAAATCCTGTCAAGAGTGAAAATGAAACAGCATGCTTTCTTCTCAATCCAAAAAGATAAGTAATGTTTACTGAGCACTTTCTATGTGCCAGGAACTGTTCTAAGTTACATAGTTTCACTCGTTAAAGAGATTTAAATACATATAATAACATAAATGATATACCAATGACATAAATAATACTATTTGATAGACAGTCAGGCATTTTCCCCCCAAAAGTATTCTTTTTATAAAATACACTACAATTCTGCTGATACAGTTAGGGACCAGAAATATATATATATATTTATATATATATATATATGGGAGAAATTAGGGAAAAAATCTTACAATAACAAACTACAAGTAAATCTACCATTTTTTCTACAATACTATCTTTTTCTTCTGATAGTAGAATTAAAATTTTCAAAAACAATAAAAAGGAAAATAATTTTATTTTCAAGCAACATTTTGCATGCCAACATTGTTTTCAAATATCATTAAATTTTAAAATATATTTAGAGAGTATCCATGTTATTGCCTTATGCAAAGGTAAGTTTTTCAACACTAACTATGGATCTGATTGTCCCAGATGTCTACGTTCTAGTATTTCATTGTTAAACTACTGCTATGTTATTGTGGTTTCCCTGAATATCATTCTGATTAAGATCATTAGGAATACTTCGATCATAATTTTGTATAATTGCTCAAGCTTCCTAGTATCACCAGCCATAACGGCTAAAGACATACTTTTTTTTTTTAAATAGAGGACTCTTCTAAGAATTTTACCTAATAAAATTCATAAACCAACTTCTTAAATTACTAAATGCCTTAAAGATTTACAAGTAATTTGGGACATTATTTAACCACATTCTTGACATTATGACGGGTTTAAATTATATTTTTTAGGTCACACTACATAGTTTGTAGGATTCTACTTCCCTGACCAGGGATTGAACTAGGCGCCTGCAGTGGAATGGCAGAGTCCTAGCCACAGGATGCCAGGGAATTCCCCAAAGGGGTGAAATTTAGTTTACTTCTTCTCAGCCATTGTGACCATCAGATTCCTGGAACTTTACTATTTTGCTTAGTTTTTCATTTTTCCTCTTCTTTTTTTTTAACCTATTTGAATCTCTCATATAGTCTGTGACTCTTGCTATTTAAAAAAATATATAAGAAAAGTATGAATTCATGTTATGAGCTTCCCTGGTGGCTCAGATGGTAAAGTGTCTGCCTGCAATGCAGGAGACCTGGGTTTGATCCCTGGGTCGGGAAGGCCCCCCTGGAGAAGGAAATGGCAACCCACTCCAGTATTCTTGCCTGGAAAATCCCATGGGCGGAGTTGCATGGTAGGCTACAGTCCATGGGGGTCATAAAGAGCTGGACACAAACAAGCAACTTTAACATTCATATGAATCCACAGACTCACTTGGCTCTCAGATTACCTAGGACCCTAAGGAGCTTTGAATCCAGTCCCCCATATGATGTTTGTATGTTCTCTGCCACATCAACCCAAATGTTTTCCATCCTCCATGCCTGCCAAGATAGGGAATTATCCACATGACAACACCCTCCATTTACAGTTTTCATTATTAAAAATATCTCTTCTAACCTGAAGCAAAACCTTCTTCTCCCAAACTGACATGTGTTTTGGACTCCACCAATCTCAACACTTGGGAGTAGGAAATGGCAACCCACTCCAGTATTCTTCTCTGGAAATCCCATGAACAGAGGAGCCTGAAGGGCTGAAGTCCATGGGGTTGCAAAGAGTCGACAAGGCTGAGCACGCATGCATGCACGCAATCTCAGCACTGCCTTTGGCAGGACCACCCTGGGCAAGTCCATCTTTTGTTGCTTTCTTTTCCTCATTGTAAAATAGGGATAAGAAATGTATGTCATGGGGTGTGGAGATTAAATGAGAATGTAATAAAGCATCTGGCACAATACAGGGCCTTTGAAAGCAGTGGCCTTTATCAGGAATAGGAAACCCACCTCTACACGGCTACTCTCAGAAATGTAGTAGCAGCTATTTTTTTTCTCTCCTCCAGGCCAAATATCCCCATTTCCTTCCATTTTTCTTTGAAAAACATGACATTTTGTCTCTTATTCTTCCAATCATTCCTTCCTGAATAGTTTTTTCTTTGAGAGAAGAATCAACTGCCAATCAAAAAACTTGTAGCCATACATTTTATGAACTTGGAGCAAGTTGTTTCCCGTTTCCCAACTGCTGAGTAAATCTCTCCCTGCTCCCCCACATGCAACGTCCCTAGAGTTAACCCCCTGGCAAGCCAGCCTGTGGAGCAGACAATGGGCATGGATGCTTTCTGGTTCTAAAGTGAGGAGGAGCCGGGAGCGCCCCTCAGACATTAGGATGCCTCTGGGAAGCTTTCCCCTTCATTCTGGTAGGATGTCAGCTCTTCCTCGTTGACGGTCACTCCGCTCTGTCCTCTCCATTCCTTCCTCTGGACTTCACACTTCTGGGTGGTGGCTCCATATGACATCTTCTTTCTGGGACTTGCAAAACTCTCGTGGTTGAGTTCTGTCTCCTCAGCTAATTCATCCTGGTCAATGATTCCACACCTCTCCTCAGAAAGGTTCTCGGGGTCTGCCCACTCCTGCTTCTCCCCAGAAGCAAAGACCCCATAGAAGATGACGCCACTGTAGTGCACCAAGGCAGCTATGAGGAACACGTTCTGCCACTCCTCACGGGTCTGAACAAGGAAACAGTACCAGTTAATATTTTAACCAAAAACAGAAATTAACAGTATCTTCTGGAGTCCCCCACTGGGACAAAGGCACTTAGTCATCCCGAAGCAATGCTGCGCTTCTTGGGAAGACATGTGGCAGATGCATGCCCAGGACCCAGATGGAATTTGAGTGTTTAAAAAAATCAAAGTTAAGACTACAGTGAATATGCATTTTTTTAAATTTAGAAAAATACTTTATAAAATAAACATCCTGTAAGATCCTTGCTGCACCATTTCACAGCCCTCCTGAATATACAAATGAGGTTAAATTAAATTTGCTTTAGGAACCCACCACTGTAAATATCAGAGGTCTCCTTCTTGCTTGCTTTGGATACATGACAATTTAAGTCACGAAAGTGCTGTTTGGACTGCCAGTAGCTTATGTATAATCATATTTTCTATGAAAATATATTGTATAAAAAATAATGGGAATTTGTGTTGAAAGAGTTAATAGCAGAATTAATAATCATGTAACTAATCCTATCATCTCATGAACAGAGAGATAATTTGGATCCTCTGCCTGTAAAATCACCAGGGCCCACCTTTGTTTTCTTTCAAAAGTTAAGAAATGTTATCCCACACTTTCTTCTCTAAGAAACTGGGAGAATTTCTGAAGTTATATTTGTAATAGGCAATCCAACAACAAAGAAATAGTTGGGTAAAAATGCCATGGTATCAGACAATGTTTATTTGCACAAGGCAGCATATCTAAAACCCTTTCAAAGACAGAGATGAAGAAACCATGTGGCCTGTGGCTGAATTCTGGATGGATCTGGGATCCTAATGTACTACCCACCTTAGTCTAAATACACAAATGTTCAGTAACGACCTGCTGCCACACCTGTGTAGGTTCTTAGGAAGGGTCATTAATGTCTTGTTTGTTTTCTTCATAATAAGGAAGTATAACTGCACTAATATTTTCATGCTGGAGCCTGCTAAGCAATAATTGGAAATGGCTATAAAGTCTAATTACTTGGAATTATAAAACAACCTTGGGCAATTTTTTTATCCTGAGTTAACTGCCTCAGTTTCTTTTTTGTCTTTAAACAATCTTTATGGTATTATCACTTCTTCTACACACATACACACACACACAGACACACCGCTTCTATTTCTCAGTTTAAGAAACATAGAACCAAACATCAGTCAGTCCTGCTGCCATTAATAAATGATAATTTTTTAAAAGAAGAAGAAAAATTTAAAAAAATAGAAGCTCAAGTGACTCAGCCAAGTCAAGGACATAGACATTCACACAGGCTGGGATCGGGCCTTGAGGCTTGGTGCAGTATTCCGGTCCTCTCATTGCGTAACCCACAGCCCCAAAGGAAACCGTTACCTTATGCTTGGTCATTGCGCCCACAATAAGGGGACAGACCATTCCAGAGAGGGTTCCCACTCCATTTGAGATTCCCATGAGAATGCTGGCATAGCGAGGGGCAATGTCCAAGTGGTTGACATTGAAACCTACAGTGAAGCCAAACATCTCAAAATCAGACTCAGGAGCAGAATTCCAAATACATTTTGGAAAATATTTAGCTTTCCCCAACTCTCGTCAACCTCTTTCCTCTACTAACGGATGCATTTACCAAAAGGGCTGGCTTGAGGATTGTCAGGCTGCATCTGCTCATAGCAGAAAACCATGCTGTGATTGATCAGTAATGGCTACAGTGGGATCTTCATGGGGAGAATTATGGCACCTCTACCTCCAGGCTTGAAACCCCAAAATAACAGTGTTTGGGGCAGCACTGAAAAGCACAGCCCGGCTCAGGTGTATTCAGAGTGAGCGGTCACGCAGTCACGTTGTCGCTCTTTAGTCCCTGAGTCGTGCTCGGGTCTTTGGCAAGCCCTGGACTATAGCCTTCCAGGCTCCTCTGACCATGGGATTTCCCAGGCAAGAATACAGGAGTGGGCTGCCACTTCCTTCTCCAGGGATCTTCTCTACCCTGCACTGTGGGCAGATTCTTTACCACTGAGCCACGAGGGAAGCCCACACAGTCACATACAGCATGATTAAAACTAAATCTTGCTTCATAATATCCTCCTTCCTAGCTCTCAGCTCACTCCCAAAAGGCCACCACAGGTGGGTCTGCCTTAGTACCACATGGCATATTATAAAGGGCTCTTTTTGGATAAGAAAGATTTATACAAACATTTGCAGGGTCCTCTGTAATTTACAAAACACTTTCACATACATACTTGATTTGGAATTTGTCAATGTGGATTCGAATCTTATTGTTATCTCTTAAACAAGTCATCTTTAGGACTTTGTTTCCTCACCTCTATTTTGAGGGTCATATTACTCCTTAACTCATAAAGATGCTGTGAGATGAGGCTTAGGGGAAATATGTACACGAGAACTGTTGGCAAACAGCTGAGCTCTAGTAACTATCACGGTGCCGATATCAGCATTGCTTCTGCTGCTGCCACTGCGAAACACACCCGTCTCTCTGGGGTCTTTTATGACTAGGTAATGCTGCAAGGAGTGGTGAAATAAAGAATCACCAGTACCTCACTATTCTTCTGTTTTTCAGGAGAAAAGGATGAGTGGAATGAAGGAAGCGGGAAGGCAGGGGAAGGATAAGGCCTTGAAAGAGGAGGCATCAGGCACTGGGAACCAATTCTGCCAGTGTAGCCCAGGGTTGCATTTTAGAGTCAGACCTTGGATCTGGCTGTTTAATTGAGATGCAAACCTGGACAAATGATTTAATCTTTCTGAACCTCAGCTTCTTCATCTATAAACTGGGATAATGATTCTTATAAAACTGTTGTAAGAATTAAGATAAATAATATATGTCAATTACATAGGTACAAAGAGGTGAAAGCCAACATCAGTCTCTTTACAGTACAACATCCATCTACCCTATTTACTTTCCTGAGCTGGCAAAGTGTCTGGCACATAGTAGGTACTCAATATATAGTTGTTTAATTAATTACCAACTTGAACTCTGAAATTACATTAGGGGGTTATAGGTTTTATTTACTCATATTTTTATTTTCCCCTGTCTTGCTTTTTAATTCTCTATTTTGTGCAAAGAACTAAAAATAGAATTTTAAAAAATTCTTTTTCTAATCCAGCCTATTGGCTGCTTGTTTTATTTCCTACCTCTGTTCAGAGAGAATTTTAAGAAAACCTTTCTGGAATAAAGATACCTTCTCTTTTAGATCAAAGTGGCAGAAAATCAGAATATAAAACAGCTGCAAGATTAATTAATCTTACTGTTGATTTGAATGTGATAAACACTTTATTAGAAAAGAACCCAGAGATAAGAAGCAATTAATATGATTGGCGAGTATTATATTCTGACACAAAGCCTAGACATCTGTGTTCAGCTAAAGATAATATGAGAAAAGCCATTTAGGTTTCTAGCTACACAATCCTGGGGTTTGGGGGAGAAATCATTGAGAAACTGAGATACTAATATATATATATATATCTTTTTGAAGCAGATACACAAAGCAAGTTACACACAAGTTGAGAGAGTCTGTCTTCTCTACACAGGACATCTTCTAAAGCAGATATCACCCATTCTTTGTATCTTTCTAATCTCACCTGTCTCAGCTCTCCTATTTATAATCAGTTCCTAAACTGAGCAAGTCTCCCTTGGCATCCCTGTTAACTCCTTATAAAGTTGATATATCCCAGATCCTAAGGAATCATCCTCCCCATGACCATAGTCCCTCCCATAGTCTCACTGTTGGATCAGATAAACCTTTATTCCAATCCTAATCACTTAATTTACTTGAGTAAGTTAAGTCACCTCTCCAAGCTTCAGTGTCCTCACTAATAAAATGAACATAGCAATACCCTTCTCATCAGGCTGCTACAGGGATTAAATGAGTTCATACCTTAAAAGTGACCAGCGGGGTTATAAATGCTGAAAAAAAAAATTTCTCTCCATCTGATTGTTGCTTAAGTTGGCAATCTGGGAACAATATGGGCCTGAATATTTCAATATCTCTGTGGACAGGATATGAATCTCTTTTGCATTACAGGGCTATCAAAAGAAGATGTCCCTTAACATCCTGCTGGGAACAATTCATGACTGCTCTATCCTTGCTACTCAAAGTGTGGACTACTGATCGGTGGCGTCAACTTCACTGGGGAGCCTGCTCGAAATACAGGATCTCAGGCTCCACTCTACACTGGTAAATCAGAATCAAAATTTTTGCAGTATCCTAAGGTGACTTGTATGCACCATTAAATTTTGAGAAGTATTGGGCTAGATTGAATAATAACTGAACAACCGTAGTGAATATTTTTTAATTGTTTTATGCATCTGGTACTGGGACTAAGATCTTCAAAAGCTTTATTTCCACTAGAATGTAAACTTTATAAGGACAGAAACTTTTCTTTTATTCACTGCAGTATCTTCTGCACCAAGAACAGTGTCTGACTCTTGGGAAGTATGAAGGAATGAAAGAATGACCTCAGTTCATTGCAATCTCCCAAGAGCCCTATGAAGTTGCCCTTATATCTCTCCAGTCTCTAGATAAGGAAACTGAGGCTGAGGATTTAAATAACTCAGCTTTTTTTTTTTGCCTTCTGTAAATAGTAAGTACTAAAGAGGGGCCTTATACCCAGGTCTTTGCATCCCTAAACCCAAGTTGTTAGCTTCAGGCTACTTTAAGTGCAAACATTTTTTTCCAATTTAACTATTCATCAGCTCTATTTATAGTTGACCCTTGAACAAAGTGGGTTGGAGCCGCATGGGTCTAGTTATAGGCAGATTTGTTTCTCAGTAGTAAATACTACAGTATTGCAGGAGATGCAGGAGACACAGGTTCAATCCCTGAGTCAGAAAGATCTCTAGGAGGAGGAAACAGCAACCCACTCCAGTATTCTTGTCTGGAAAATTCCATAGACAGGGGAGCTTGGCGGGGTACAGTTCACAGGGTCACAAAAAGTCAGATACGACTGAGCAACTAAGCATGCAAGCACGCGTGCACAGGATCTGTGGTTGAATGAATCGTCAGATGCAAAATCGAGGATACAACAAAACCCAGGATGCAGAGGAATACTTTATACAGGAGGGCTTCCCTCATAGTTCAGTTGGTAAAGAATCCGCCTGCAATGCAGGAAACCCTGGTTTGATTCCTGGGTTGGGAAGTTCCACTGGAGAAGGGATGGGCCACCCAGTCCAGTATCTTGGGCTTCCCTTGTGACTCAGCTGGTAAAGAATCCACCTGCAGTGCAAGAGACCCGGGTTCAATCCCTGGGTTGGGGAGATTCTCTGGAGAAGGGAAAGGTTACCCACTCCGGTAGAGTCAGATTTTTGACTATGCGGGGTGGGGGATCAGCACCCATATCTTCCACATTGTTCAAGGGTCAGCTGTATTTTGATAAGACCAAGGCCCTGTTTTAAGAGTAGTCTTGACCCAGAGGCTGGGTGCTCTTCCATTCTAGGACGCTATCACTGTGTTTGATCTTTAAGACAGCCCAGAGTCATGGGAAAGAGCTCAGGCGTGAAAACCAGGTAGGACTGCACCTAAATTCTTCCTTTGTCCCCAGTTGTGTAACAATAGGAAAGTCCTTTATTTTCCTGAGCTTTAAGTTATTGCTCAGTAAAATAATGGTAATATCATTTGCTTCACAATGTTGTCAGAGATGCAGTACGTGTCAAGTGTTCTGTTAAATGACAATTTTTGGTTTTACAATCTTTTTTAAAGATAGGGAAAAAAAATCCTTAAGTTTTACTTTTTCACCCAGTTTTGCAGAGGGAACTTCTGAAGTCTGTAATATGCTAGCACTGTTACCTCTCATGCGGTAGCTGGTTTCTGCTCCTATAAAATGGGGAGACCGAAGGCCCTAGGGTAGCTGTTGGAATTGCAGGGATTAATACACAGAGTGGGCTGTGAACAGCCCCCTGCACAGAGTTTGTGCCTGATCAGTGTTAGCTCACATCATCATTACTATTCTTCTTAAGTCTTGCTGGCTTAGCAAGGCACATCACCTCTCTGGATCTGCATGTCCTTGTTTGGAAAATGAAAGCCATGGAGAAGACAGAAAACTAAAGACAAATTCCACCCTTAAAACTTTCTGATTCTATGTGTGTGTATGCATGTGTTCAGTCATGTCCAGCTCTTCACGACCTCTTGGACTGTAGCCCACCAGGCTCCTCTGTCCTTGCAATTCTCCAGGCAAGAATACTGGAGTGGGTTGTCATTTCCTCCTCCAGGTGACCTCCCCAACCCAGGGATTGAATCCACGTTCCTGGCACCTTCTGCATTGGCAGACAGATTCTTTAGCACTAGTGCCACCTGGGAAGCCCTTCTGATTCTATAACTTTATGTCAAATGACTATATCATTTGATTGTGAGTTAATGTTAGCAGTTCTCCTGTAGGAAGCGAGAATCAAAAAAGTCACAAGAGCCTCTGTTAGGTCAGGTGGCCTGGTGCTAAAGTATGCAGGTACCACTTTGCCCTGCAACACACATTCTGCCCATGCCCCAGAGAGGGCACCTGCCTGTTGTCATTCCCAAGATGAAGAAAGTAGTGATAATTCCAGCTTGGCTGGGCTCCTAAGCCCAGTTCTCAGTGATATTCAAAATCATCCCCACTAGATGAAAATCTCTAGCCAGTGGCCTTGATCCTCAGGAATGGCCTGGCTGCCAAAGGTAGATGCTTAATATCCTTTCCTTCCTTTCTCCCAAGTCTTGCTGAATCTATGGAAAAGATTTGGAAACCCAAAGGGCACTTTACCTGAAATAGCAAAACCACTAAATCCTACAGCAAGCACCAGAAAGGAGATAGCCATCCCTTTGGTATGGGAAAAGCCAACCACGAGGAGCAAGGTTGCCTCCATGCCAAAACCTGTGAACGGAAACAGCAGGGGAAAACGTCATTTCCAAGTCAGTCAGCCCAAGTTCGTGAATTTGTCAAAAAGAATCTATTTTCACAGACCCAAGCTTTTAGTGCACATATTCTGGCACAATATTTACAATCTTATAGAGATATTTCTTGACTACACGACTTTGCTAATATTACCCAGGTCTTCTGTGAGCTTTCCAACAATTTCCTGGTGTGCCTTGAACACTGAATAGTCCCAGGAGGTACAATGATGCCCATTGGATGAGGAATGTTTATTATCAGTTGTTCATGGGTAGTTCCCCCTGCCATTTCTAAGACCGTCAGTGATTCTCCATTGATTACACAAGTGATGGTCTCTCACAGAAAATGAAACAAAAATAAAAATTTTAAATAAAATAGTATTATTGCCAAAAGTGATTAGAAAGCAGTAGTGAATATCTGAAACAAAAAGCAGAGCCTCACCACCTGTAAAGCATAAGGCAAAATTCCTCCTTTTCAGAAGTTTGCCAAGCTTTCAGGCCTCTTTATAGTGCCATGAGATATTTGCACACAAAATACAGTGGGACGGAAATACTTTTTGCTCCTTTCATTCAAAATAAGTGAATCCAGCACAATAAAAAAGGGTAAGGAAATGCTGAAGATCCTTCTCACCAACACACAAAAACACACACAAGTTCAGTTGATAGCAAGACAGAAAGATGATATAAGTACTGTTTCTAGGGACAGGAAGTACCCTTGGAGGTAGAAGACAGTGAAATGATGCTTCATCCTAGAGACTAGCTGCTGATTCCAGACATCGCTACACGATTGTCCTTTGAGTTACCTCAAAGATAGCAGGCCCAAATCAAGTCTCTGTCCCCCATATTCACTCCAAAACAGACAAAAAACCACCACCACACTCTTTCTTCTTCTCTCAATTAATCTATCTGCCTGTGTTTAGAACCCAGACTTTATCAGACAGGCCTGCTGGATTCAGATTCCATCTCAAAATCACTAATGGTGTGATCTTGGACAAGCACTTCTTCTCTTCGATTCCTCATTCCCCCCCTGCCAAAAGCTATAATACAACCTTGGAGCATTGGAAGATTAAATGAAATTGGGTATATAAGGTGTTGAGCATGATCGCCGGCCATGGACATGACTCAACAAATGGTTATCAAATGTTCAAAGCAGAAATCTCAGAATCAACTTGGACTTCTTTCTCTTCTTCAGTTTTCAGATAAGAATCCATGACGTTGGCCTTAGAAATACCTGCTTTTCCTTCTCTGACCATTGTCTTAGTTGTGGACCCCACTACCTCTCACCTGGACAACTTCAAAAACCTCTTTATTGGTCTTCCCATCTCTTTTTCCTCTGATCCATTCTCTGGATGATTATTTTTCTAAACTACAAATCTGATCAGTTGCTCCTTTACTTAAAATGCTTGTCAGTGGTTCCACACTGTAAGTACAGAGTCTATAATAAACTCCTCCTGCTGCCCCAGTTTCAGTTTCTGTCTCTCTTACCCCCGGCTCACCATCCGAAGCCCATGGGAAGGCCTCTACTGTTGCACATGTTTCTCCACCATTTCCTGATCACAACACTGTTTTGTGCCCGTACCGTATTTCCACAGACTGTTCCTTCACCTGCAGTACTCTTCTGGTATTACTTACTTCTCATTTCTGGAGAAATCTTACTATTCTTTGAAGTCCAGTTCAAATACTGCTTTACTTAGGAAGCTGACAACCCTGCCACTCACCATCAGAGAAGCTGACATCTCCTTCTTCTTACTCATTTCATAGAACTTTTCAGCATTGCCCTGTAGTTTTTCATTTGTGTTTCTGCCTTCCCCAACAAAACTGTGATATTACCCAGGGAAGGTACCATGGGTATAGTACAAAGCCTGGCAAGTATGTAGTGGGAACTTGATAATTAGTGCAAAGGAAAGAAAGGAAAATCAAGATTAAGTTGAAATACAAGCCAAGACACTTTTTTTGTAAACCTTAATAAGTTGCTTACCTTTCTGAATCCATTCTTCAAAACTATTATAGAAACAGGGCAAGCGTTAATGCTTGTTTTAGATGGTCATCTAAAGAGAATCAGTAAAATTATGGGCACAGAGGTGCTTTTTAAACTGTGAGCTTCACAGACTCACTGATGCAGAGAATAAATTAGTGGGATGTGGGGGGATGCCACATGGGGTGCCAGTGGGGGAGGCCAGTGGGGGGATGGAGAGAGGGAGGGGCAGTATAGCGGTGGGGAGTGGGAGGTTCAAACTACTGGGTGTAAGACAGGCTCAAGGATGTATTGTAGAACATGAAGAATATAGCCACCGTTTTGTAACAGTTCTAAATGGAACAAAAGCTTCAAAAATTGTATTTATAAGTTTTTAAATTTTAATTAATCAATATTTTTTTTAAACTGTGGACTTTATGTCATTACTGGTCATCCATGTCCCATTACCTCATGGCAAATAGATGGGGAAACAATGGAAACAGTGACAGATTTTATTTCCTAAGGCTCCAAAATCACTGCATATGGTAACTGCAGCCATGGAATTTTGCTCCTTGGAAGAAAAGCTATGACAAACCTAAACAGCATATTAAAAAGCAGAGACATTTCTTTGCTGACAAACGACTGTCTAGCATAAGCTATGATTTTTCCAGTAGTCATGTATGGATGTGAAAGTTGGATCATAAAGAAAGCTAAGTACCAAAGAACTGTTGCTGTTGCTTTTGAACTGTGATGCCGGAGTCCCTTGGACGGCAAGATCAAGTCACTCAACCCTAAAGGAAATCAGTCCTGAATATTCATTGGAAGGACTGACGCTGAAGCTGAAGCTCCAATACTCTGGCCACCTGATGTGAAGAACTGACTCATTTGAAAAGACCCTGATGCTGGGAAAGATTGAAGGCGGNCGTGGACTGCAGCCCTCCTTTGTCCATGGGGTTATCCCAGCAGGAATACTAGAGTGGGTTGCCACTTCTTCCTCCAGGGGATCTTCCTGACCCAGGGATCAAACCTATGTCTTTAGCATCTCCTGCACTGGCAGGTTATTTTTCCCTATATATAATTTAAATTGTTGAAACAAAATTAATAACAAGTAATAATTGTATAAGGGCTTCCCAGGTGGCTCAGTGGTAAAGAATCAGCCTGCTGATGCAGGGGAAGTGGGTTCAATCCTTGAGTCAGGAAGATCCCCTGGAGAAGGAAATGGCAACCCACTCCAGTATTCTTGCCTGGAAGATTCCATGGACAGAGGAGCCTGGCAGCCTATAGTCTAGGGAGTAGCAAAGAGTTGGACATGACTGAGCGCACACACACACACATACCATTGTATACTAACTATTTGTGTTTTGGAACTGGTCTGTCTTACACAACAAGGCACATGGTTCAAACTTCCCTTAACACTATCCAAAAAATGGAACCAGAAAGTTAATTCCCCCCAAATAATTAGAATAAAGATACTGTATGAAGAAAACCTATAAATGATACATTGATGCATCAATAAGAAAAAAGATTTTTGCCAAATAGTAGACTTTCAAAGAAAGAAAAATCATTTAAGAGCATAAGTGACTCCCATCTACTGTGAAAACGCTAGGACTGTATGTTTCAGGAGCTGAATGATAAAATTTAAACTTTATGGGTGATCAAGAGATCCTGAGAAGTGAAACTATGCCAAGAGAAACAGAACTAGAACTGAAAGGTCTGAGAAATTTTTTCATTTCGTATTAAAACAACCTGAAGTTCACATAGGCAACCAATTCAGCCAGACAAGGATCTTTTTGCCTCAGTCACACTTTCCATCTTCTACGTCGTTCAGACACTCAGTCATATCCGATTCTTTGAGACCCCATGACCAGCAGCACGCCAGGCTTCCCTGTCATATCTTTTTTTTAAATATCTCTTTTTGGGCCACATGACCAAAAAAGCACCCCACATCTTAGTGCGCCAACCAGGGATTAAACCCAGGGCCTTGTCAGTGAGAGCACAGAATTCTAACCACTGGAGTGCCAAGGAGTTCCCAGACTGTCCTATCTCAGGTTGCACAAGTACAGGCTCAGTGACCTCTAGGCAGGGGTGTGACGGACACTCAAGTATCAACTAGGGGGTGGACTTAAGGGCCTTCTCAGTGCTTAGACCTAACCTCAAAAATATGGTTTGCAATTCAGTTTCATCTCATTCTATAGAAGCTGCTTAAGCCACCTATGAAATCCACAGTACCTCCGCAGTTCATGATTTTTCTGACAGCAGTTGTGGTCAAAATTTTTCTGCTTCTTAAATAATCAGCCAGTTGTCCTCCAATAGGCACAATGATCGTCATAACCATGTGTGGGACTGCTGACAAGAGACCCACCTGGAATGAAAAGAAACAGTGAGCTGTTTTTAGCTACTTCTGAGAGATGTACTTCTTTAACACCCTCACCATCTCCACTGAACCCCTCACCCTCACCATCAAATTTAATCATCTAATTATACGGGACCGAGACAGGCCTGAATTTTGTAATGAATAAACAATGAATGAGTGAACAACTTTAAGAATAGACCTACTCGTCTCCTCTACCAGATAGGAAGCTCCTTGAGATGGGTAGGTCTGGTCTTAAAATCGTTCACAGAGGCCCCAGTACCCAGTGGGTGTTTAACTACTTGGCACATGGCAGTTAGACTCTTGGCATAGAGTGAGTACCCCCTGATGGCCGCCACTACTGGCTGGGCTAGTTCTTCCATAGTCACAGATATCTACCTCTGTAGGCCTCTGTTCTTTATCCTGTGGGAAGGAGACTTAATACTTTTAGGATGACAGCTTATGTTTTACCATCCACATTCTTCATACCTGAAACACAGGCAACCTAATAGCAATTGTTGGGGACATTGAAAAAGGTTCTTTCTAAACCATAAAGTACTGGTCATTAGTGCTATGACTGTGATCTGCAAAATGAGCTTTAAGGTTCTTACTGCTCCTCCCTGAATAATTTATAGGAAAAAAAAAACACAACCTTGCACCCTTAAATCTTTTGATCCTTGCCTAATATGCAGTTCTTGAGTCAGCTTCAGAAACACTTTGAGAATGGGAAGAACATAAATCTTTAAAAGCAGCTTAATACAGCTCTGATCCTTACTAAGAAGAAATTAAATAGCTGTGTTTATTGCACGTAGAATGCATAACTTGTCTGACCTCCAGGGTATTAGGTGTCACAGAACTGTTAGGAATTTTGATCAGTAATGTAATTATTTTATCAAGCAAAGATTTTTGCAGTAGAAGCAAGAGATTTAAAGTTCAAGAATCTGTATGTTTACCTTACTTATTGCAAATCCAAAGACCTCTTCAAAGTAAGCAGGCTGACTTATTAACAGCAAATAAAATGTCCAGCTTCTGCAAAAATTGGCCACAATGATTGCATACACTGGCAATGACGTGAAAAATCTTTTCCATGGTGTATTAAATTTCTAGAAAGTGGAAATACCGTGAGATTTGTAGTGAATATACTGACAGATTATTTTTCTTATGAGGCTAACACAATCATTGAAAGAAATACTCATAAAAAGAGGCAAGTCTTCGTCTCTCCTCTCTACTTACACTGAGACTAACCAAGTTGGCTCCTTCGCCTATGCTTGCCTCTATATAGGTCCTCTCCTCCTGGGATATTGTTGGGTGAGCTGCTGGACACTCATAGGCCTGCAACAGCCAAAACATGTACCAAATAATCCCCAAAATACCTGCAGTCGGAAAACAAAAGGCTTGATGATATCATCTCATTTTCTTCCATCTCTAAATTTGTCAAATTTCAAAGTATTCTCAAATGGCACTATATTCAGCTAGTAGAAAGCATTTGGTTGATTTTTTTTCCTGGCATTATGTTATTAACTGGTATTTAAAGAAAGATTATGCTCTGCTCATTAGGAAATTCAACTTTTATATACACATTAAATGAATCATCATTAGACAAGTATTCCATTTATGTGATAAACTTGTCTTAGTAATCCCTATTTTCATACAGTAAACTCTTAAGCCAACCCCATTAGATAGTCAAAGGCCATATCTATCAATTACCCATGTGTGTGTGTGTGTGTGTGTTCAGTCACTTAAGTCCTGTCCAACTCTTTGTGACCCTATGGATTGTAGCCCACCAGGCTCTTCTGTCCATGGGGTTCTCCAGGCAAGAATATTGAAGTGGGTTGCCATTCCCTCCTCCAGGGGATCTTCCCGACCCAGGGATCAGACCTGCATTTCCTGCATCTCCTGCATTGGCAGGGGATTCTTTACCACCGAGCCACCTGGGAAGCCCAGTTATTCATGGGAACTCATGAAATCAAATCACTCACCATAAATATAAAAGACAGAGGCCCATCCAATGTACTGGACCAACACCCCGGCCAGCGGCATGGCGATCACTGCTCCTGCATAGGAACCTAGGACAAAAAAAGTGGAAGGAAACTCACCAGTCACCAGGCAAGCCCATCCAACCATCAGAGTTCAGCAGTCAACCTGAAGACTGCAATCTTCAGGGTGCTCAGTGTGAAGCAGTCACACCGAGTGCGAGTGAGGATGCCTCTGTGCAGCGGAGCTGGCCCACTCCCACCGTGCCTAAAAATAGGCCTCCAGGAGAGAAAGGTCTCCAGGGTACCCTTTAACTTCATCCGGACCCCATGGAAGGGTTAGACAGAGATGGCTCAGGCACCTTGATTTGGAATAACAAGAAAATGGAATGAAAACAATAAGAAAAATGTGACAACTCTGAAAAACTCAGTCAGGCACAATATTGGGTGCTGAAGACAGAAAGTGAAGGCACAGGGACTGCCCTAGTGGTCCAGTGGTTAAGACTCCGTGCTTCCATTGCAGGGGGCATGGGTTCAATCCCGAATCAGGAAACTAACATCCCACATCAGCCAATAAGTAAATCAATAGCCAGACCATTAAAAAGAAAGAAAGAAAGTGAAGGCATTTATGTAAGTATCTCTCAGGGTTCACAATTCAGAAGGATATCACCTAGGTCTTTATTTTAAAAAAATTTTTTTTCTCTCAGTTTTATTGAGATATAATTATATTGATATATAATTCACCTAGGCCTTTAAATGAGGAACTTCAAACTATGAAAGAATTATGCTTTTTAGCATCTCAATTTTTTTTTTTAATACCAGAAAACTGTTAAATTTCAGGATGGCAGGATGACGAGGATAGCTACTGTCTTCATCCGCCTCCTAAATGGGTACATTTTTAGTTTCTTACTTTGAAATACCTAACCTTGTAAATACTTACCTGTGTGTGGATGTTTATCTTGTCTAGACAAGATAACAAGGGCTAGAGGCAGTGACCTCACCTCCACTATCTCCGGAAGCTCTATGATATCTGGTGGAGAGACATGAGCGCTGCAAACTCCCAATAAATATTAACTGAATCAAAAAAATTACTATATGAAATTCCCTCTGGGTATGAGTGGAAAGAATTCTTGCTTCAGCACAAGTGAGCAGCAAAAAGAAATGCTGTATCCCATAACCCAGTGCTAAGGAAGATCTTCAGGAAACAGGAACTTGAAGAGCTTCCAGACAAATTAAATCCCATGTTTCCAAGTTGGGCCCAGCTGGCCTGACCTGGAATCCTGGATCTGAACATCAGGACCCCTGAGGAAGTCTCTCAATTCCTCCAAATCATTTTCTTCAGATGGAAGTGAAATCTCTGTCTTACCAGGTTGTTTTGAGGAGCAAATAACTTATTACATGAAGGTGCTCTAATTAAGTGTAACATAGATGCCAACTAGCACGGTGGTTATCACATCTGCTTTACACACAGAAGGTCCTGGCCTCAAGTCCCAATGGAGCCAAGCCAAGAGGGCTGCTTTTTAGAGCTTCCCAGGTGGCGCTAGTAGAAAAGAATCTGCCTGCAATATGAGAGACCTGGGTTTGATCCCTGGGTCAGGAAGATCCCTTGGAGAAGGAAATGGCAACCACTCCTGTATTCTTGCCTGGAGAACACCATAGACAGAAGAGCCTGCTGAGTTGCAGTCCATGGGGTCACAAAGAGTCGGACACGACTGAGCAGCTAACACTTTCACTTTCAAACACCAGCTGGGCTTCCCTGGTGACTCAGGTGCTAAAGAGTCTGCCTGCAGTGCCGGAGACCTGGGTTCGATCCCTGGGTCAGGAAGATCCCCTGGAGAAAGGAATGGCAACCCACTCCAGTATTCTTGCCTGGAGAATTCCATGGACAGAGGAGCCTGGTGGGCTACAGTCACGGGGTTGCAGAGTCAGACACGACTGAGGGACTAACACTTGCACTTTCAAACATCAACCATTTATGCTGCTACTGTGAACAGAAAGAAAGAGCACTTCTAATTTTTTAACCTCAGACTTCCTCAGACCGATAAGGCAGAGGTTCCAGGACACATCATCTCTAAAGAAGAGCTACAGACCTGATTCCTCTGTGAGTGTGGAGAAGGTGGTCTCCTTTCCTGGAGCAAATACCCTGGGAGTGGGAGGTGGGCGCTCAAGTTTAGATGATGCAAACGGGGAGGGTCAGGGGATAACCATCTATTAATATAAGGTTCATTGAGTGCTTTCTGTGTGATTTCTAGTATTGTGCTGAGGACTCTGGATTCCTGGTTTTATTTAACCTTTTTTTTTCAACCTGGTAACATTGGTACTGGTGTCATCCCCATTTTACAAGAATGCTTGGGATGGGAGGTAAATTTCCTGAGGTCACATGGGTGTGAGTGACCAGAATCCAGGTCTGCAGGAATCCAAAGCCTTTAACCTTAACTGTGTAATAATTCAGTCCTGCTTCTTCCATTCAACAATAGCCAATAATTCCTCATAGCAAGAAGCATTCCTCCACTGAGGAAATTTTACAGCCTGAAATTATCCTTTCCTGTCTTTTAGACAACTCTTTCTCATCCTTCCAAACGTGGCTGAATGTGATCTCCTATCACACCCACAGGTCCTGAGCACACCCCAGCAGGGCTCTCCACCCATATTGCCCTAACCGCACCTTGACCCCTCTGTGTGGGCACCACGCAGGAAGAGGAGGGTGCTTACTGAATGGCATCGGCAGAGAGGAGTAGCTGACCTGGGATGAGAGAGTACCCAGTGCTGTCCTCACTTTTCATGAGAGTTTATGTCTTTTTTGCCCCTCCTTGCAGTATTTTTTAAGTGTAAGAATCATTTATCCCCAAGCCTGGGTTTACTTCTAATGACATTTTTGCTGTGCTCTTCTTTGAAACCAAGGCCACTCCTTAGCTGGGAAATACAATAAAGCCTGTGACCTTGATCAGGTAACTTTCCTTGAGAGTCAAGTCATTTCTTAAACTAGTCATTTTAGGGCTATAAAAACACGAAGAATGGGGAGTGGCTGCTGGTTGTTCTTGTTTGCTGGCAAATCAAAATAAAAGGCCTTATAAGTAAATTTTCTGAAGAAAATAGGTCAAGGTCAGCTGGGGCAGAATCTTACATTCTTCTAGAGTTGGTATAAGATCANGGGGAGTGGCTGCTGGTTGTTCTTGTTTGCTGGCAAATCAAAATAAAAGGCCTTATAAGTAAATTTTCTGAAGAAAATAGGTCAAGGTCAGCTGGGGCAGAATCTTACATTCTTCTAGAGTTGGTATAAGATCATTAGGGGAGGTGGAGTTGATCTTGAACTGCAAGTAAAAGGACAAAAATGGTTCCTAAGGATGGGGGAGACTGAAGATGTAAAGGCATCTCAGCTGTGTGTGCATTTCTAAATGAGACACAAAATAGGCACGTGGGTGAATGTTTCACACCAAATTCCCTGGGATCCTTTATTACTACTGCTGCTGCTGCTAACACTACTACTGGTTGTGCAGGTAAAGAAGAGAAAGTGAAAGTGTCAGTCACCCAACTGTGTTCAACTCTTTGTGACCCACCACGCTCCTCTGTCCATGGAATTCTCCAGGCAAGAATACTGGAGTGGGTTGCCATTTCCTTCTCCAGGGGATTTTCCCGACCCAGGGATCGAACACAGGTCCCTGCATTGCAGGCAGATTCTTTAATGTCTGAGCTACCAGGGAAGCCCCAAAGAAGAAGAGGGAAAAATAAATAAATTTATTTAGAGAAGTAAAGCTTCCTCCTTAGCCAAAATGTACAGGTTAGCTTGTGTTAGGAAAGATATGCTAGCTTGAAAATCTAAGCAGACCTAAATTCGATCCTAATTCTGTGTGGGCCCATTGCTAACTTTTGTGGCCTAAGTCACTTTTGTCTTCTTGGGCCTCTTCCCCCATTAAAAAAAATATTTGAAAATATTGGTGGCAGCACATGCTATTCTTGTTCAAATGTTGATGGGTACCTAGTAGAGTCTTCTGAACACTGATTACTCTCAGAGATTCATAGAGGGGCCAGTCCCAAAGGCATGGCTTGAAATGAGGCAACCTTAGCAAGGTGAAATTTGGAGACCCAGGAGTTAAAGTCACATCAGTACTTAAGGGCTATCAATTTGCTTTGGGGTAAAATGGATGATGTCCTCTTTGTTTTTTTTTCTGGAAGATAATAGCAAAAGTTGATTAAATGGTCTTTGTGACAAATCACTGCAGATGGTGACTGCAGCCATGAAACTAAAAGACGCTTGCTCCTTGGAAGAAAAGCTATGACCAACCTGTGAAAAAGTGAAAAGTCGCTCAGTCGTGTCTGACTCTTTGCAACCCCATGGACTGGGGCCTACCAGGCTCCTCCGTCCATAGAATTTTCCAGGCAAAAGTACTAGAGTGGGTTGCCATTTCCTTCTCCAGGAGATCTTCCCATCCCAGGGATTGAACCTAGCTCTCCCGCATTGTAGGCTTTACTGCTTTACCATCTGAGCCACGAGGGAAGTCTCATGACCAACCTAGACAGCATATTAAAAGGCAGAGACATCACTTTACCAACAAAGGTCTGTCTAGTCAAAGCTATGGTTTTTCCAGTAGTCATGTATGGATGTGAGAGGTGGACTATAAGGAAAGCTAAGCACTGAAATATTGATGCTTTTGAACTGTGGTGCTGGAGAAGACTCTTGAGAGTCCCTTGGACTGCAAGGAGATCCAACCAGGCCATCCTGAAGGAGATCAGTCCTGAATATTTGTTGGAAGGACTGATGCTGAAGCTGAAACTCCAATACTTTGGCCACCTGATGCAAAGAACTGACTCATTTGAAAAGACCCTGATGCTGGGAAAGATTGAAGTCAGGAGGAAAAGGGGATGGCAGAGGATGAGATGGTTGGATGGCATCACCGATGTGATGGACATGAGTTTGAGTAGGCTCCGGATGTTGGTGATGGGAGGACATGGACAGGGAGGCCTGGTGTGCTGCAGTCCATAGGGTTGCAAAGAATCGGACACGACTGAGCGACTGAACTGAACTGAACTGATGATAGTGTGTACAAAGTAGTGTGTGGCGAGGAAAGCTCTGAATCAAGAATCCAACGTTCTAGCTCCTGCTCCATTCTTTGGTACCTATGTGATCTTGAGCAAGTCACTGGACTTCTGCTTTAGTTCAATGAAATGAGATTTAAAATTTTAGTTTTAATTTCTCCATTTGTAAAAAGAAGAGGACTGGGGCCTTGACTATTCTACATCTTCTACTTTCAACTTTGGGAAATATTTGTTGGCTAATTCTACAACTACTTCCAATGACTTTTTTCTTACTTTTCTCTATTAAAGATGTTAGAAAAGCTAGGCACTGGCTTTCCCAGCTTTCTCTGCAGTTAGTAAAGCCTATGAAACAGTTAGGACCAAGCAGATAAAAATGGAAGCCTGCTAGGGGAATTGGGAAGGCTTTTTCTTTCCTGATGAAAGGAATAGAGTTGGTTAGGACACCCATCCCCTCTTCTTTCTGCCTTTAAGTGGACTTAATGCCTGGAATTGTGGTAGCCATTTTGCAAACATGAGGAATACGCATGAATGCAAAAAGTTATCACTCTAAGGATAGTGGAGTAGAAAGTCAGAACAGGCACAGGCCCTGGATAGATTACAGACCAGCAGAATCAACACTAGCAACCAACCATTCACCTTTGGACTTTTGTTATGTGAAAAAATTAATTCTATTTAGCAGGGTCTTCATCTAAAGCAGAAAGCATTCCTATATGAAACTTGCTATTATTCCAATACACTTACCACAAAAGGAGATTGTAGCCAGTCTGCTTCTCTCCAGAGGTGGTGCCCACTTACTCCACATCCCGTGACATGCTGGGTATGTCACACCCTGGCAAGACAGTTCAAAATGGATGATTTGATGGGGAATACATGTAAATCCATGGCTGATTCATGTCAGTGTATGACAAAAACCACTACAATATTGTAAAGTAATTAGCCTCCAACTAATAAAAAAAAAATTTTTTTAAAAATGGATGATTTGATTTGACTCCAGTTTCTTTTTGTGTTTAAAATTGGACTTTGCCTCTCTAACATCGCAATATAAAAGCCCAACTTATAGAAACTAAATAACATGTGTCAGTTATTTTGACTCACAGCACAGATGCTAAAATTCAAATACAAGTTCAGATGTAAGCAAGGTGGGGAATGGGGAAGGGGGTCTTCATATTTCATATTATTATTTAATATCAGTGTGGAAATGGATTTCCACAATCAGATGACCCATCCTCTCATTTAAAGATATGGAACCTGAGGCTGCCAGCCATTAGGTGACTAGATTCTAGTCTTCAGGGCTGCTAATATCATGTTCTTTCTACTGTGTTAGTATTTTCCAAAGTGTGGTATATGTCCCTCCAGTGGGATAAGAATTAGATTTCAAGTACTAAAACCACCTACATTTTTTTATTATCATTGTTACATATATATTCTAATATGCTTTAGAAAAACATAACTAGCACATTAAACCCATGATATAAAAAATATTGTTGCTTATGAGGAGGTTCTATTTTGTTTTGTTTTTAAGTAAATTGACCAGGGAAAAACTATAGGCAAGTAACAGTATGAATCATAGTGTGAATATGACAAAAGTGACAACGGTTAGAGGTGAATGACTGAGTTTGGGAAGCATTTCTCTATATTAGGTGACTAGATTCTAGTCTTCAGGGCTGCTAATATCATGTTCTTTCTACTGTGTTACTATTTTCCAAAGTGTGGTATATGTCCCTCCAGTGGGATAAGAATTAGATTTCAAGTACTAAAACCACCTACATTTTTTTATTATCATTGTTACATATATATTCTAATATGCTTTAGAAAAACATAACTAGCACATTAAACCCATGATATAAAAAATATTGTTGCTTATGAGGAGGTTCTATTTTGTTTTGTTTTTAAGTAAATTGACCAGGGAAAAACTATAGGCAAGTAACAGTATGAATCATAGTGTGAATATGACAAAAGTGACAACGGTTAGAGGTGAATGACTGAGTTTGGGAAGCATTTCTCTATATCAGGTGGGGGCAAATTATGGCCTGATGTGGCCCACCCTCTGTTTTTCTCCAGCCCTCAAGCAAAGAATGGTTTTTAAATGTTTAAGTGACCAGGAAAAAAATTTTTTTTTAAAGAATTGCATTTCCTGGCATGTAAAAATCATATGAAATAAAAAAATATCAGTGTCCAAAAAGTTTCACTGTCAAGTAGCCATGCCCACACGTTTACATATATTTCTGGCTGCTTTTGTAAACAATGGCAGAGTTGAGAAGTTGCAACAGACCACAGTATGGCCAGCAGAGTACAAAATATTTACCTTCTGGCTCTATATTATGCTACCCACTTCATCAAGTTAAATCTCTATGTAAGACTACACTCCTGGAAATTTACAGACTTATTAATAAATCCACTTAAATTTTTTTAGTGGAAAGAGCCCTGGTTATGTGAACTGAAGGCTTTGGGCTTCAGTTTCAAAATTTATTAAGCGGAAGCGGTTGGATTAAATTACCTCTAAGATCACTCCTGGCTCATCTGAAATTCTGCACTCTGTGAAATGATCCTTCATTGTGTATAAATTTGGAATCACACATGGAATTTTAATTAAAGTATTCATAATTATAATCATAACCAGAAAGTTCAGATAGCCAGACAAGAAAGATGGAAGATAGGAAAACTGATAAAGGAGGTTTTCTTCAAAAATTAAAATTTCTAAAGGATCGTGTTGTCTCCAACAATATCAAAATTTGTTAAGAAAAGAGTCTCTTACCTCCACTAAACCTTGTAAAATCCTGACACCCATGACACAGCCGTAATGCGCTCTGGCTGCAGATGGAATGAGCATGTTCAAGGTCGATGTTAGGAAGACGGCAGCTCCAAAGACCCTGAGGACCAAAACACTGTGCTACTGGGCAGGCCCCACCATGGATATGGCACATTAGTTAAACATCAGGAACAAACCTACCTGTTCATGGAAGGTCACTGTATAAATTAACAGAGAAATAGATGTGTTAGGGTCTGCTGTGTGCCTTGCTAGGCTGTCAGGCTGCTTTGATTCCCAATCTCCAGTCCTTGGGCCAATCATGGGAAGGTTTGGGGCAGTACAGGCGTGTCCTGTCTAGATAAGATCCAGAAGCTGGAGACTGACTGGCACAAGGTAAACTCACTGGAGACCCATCATTGTTCTCGATTCTACCTGAATGATCCATTCTGACTACCACCTCATGACTTCTGCACATTTGGGTTGTATCTCCTGCTTCCCAGCTCTGCCCTCGTGTTAGCAGATGGGGCTACAAGCTATCTGAGAAGTGTGCTGTGTCCTGGAACCAGACCGGGCACCTGTCTCAGCCCCCCAGCTTTCTGCCAAGTACCGTGTGTCTCCTCTTTGCCTGGACAGGAGTGTTCCAGGGAAAGAGAGCGGGCATCATTTTATTTCTTTCTCACACATGCTAATGATGCTTCAGATTTTTTTTTATTCTGGGAAATCTTATTATATGCTATTTCTTCTTAGGGCAGTAGTATGAATAGTGACTTCAAAGACCATAGGAACCAGTATTTTATCACTTTTTAAGAAGAATACAACAGGCAAGTGACAATAAATAAAGGACACAAATTAGATAAGAACATAAGTAAAATATGAGTCATGCTCATAGAAATTACTTTACATATGGATATGACTTTCAGACTTTTTTCCTTGATCCATAAAACAAAATAAATTTTATATTGCAACCCAACACACACTTATACACACAAATGTAACCAAAGCAATTTCCAAAATTTGATTCTAAAATGTGCAATGAGCTAAGATATTTTCTATTCTATTTGATTATCTTTCCTTCTATTTTTCTCTCTTTTTAGAAAATAGATATTGGTAAATCACTATTGATTTATTACCATCTAGTGAGTTCTGTTTTTAGAGTTTGAAAAATACTGCTTTATAAAATGTACACTTCATAAAATCCATATATGTTAAGTCAATTACAATGAGAAATGACCTGGAAATAATTAGTACACTTTTAGTACACTCCTCATATACATATTACATATCTTCCAAGTGGCCATCACCTTTTGCTTAAATACCTTTAGTAACAGAGAACTACTACTCCTTGAGGCAGCTCATTTTTTCCTGGACCTACTTTTACTTGCTCAAACACCTCCTATAGAATCTCAAGAGTATGAAAGACATCTTACAGTCTAGAGACAAGCCCCCTCCTACTCACATGACAAAACCAGTATAGTACAGGACAATATCAGCATAGTAAACAGCATCACAGAAAGTCATTGCTCAAAGGGAACTCAAACACAATCTAATCCATGTTTCATTTCACAGATGAGGAAATGGACGTCCAGGGGAAAAGAGGAACTCAGTAGAGGTTACCAAGTGAGTTACTTAGGGTCCAGAAACTGTTTCTCCTGACTCAGGTGCAGTTGATTTTTTTTAAACTACATAATCAGATAAAGAATTGCCAGATAGATTAAATTAAACAAAAAAGTAAACAAAAAGAGATTCTTAAGAACAGGATCATATAAGGTCAATGTCTGTGAATCATGTCTTTAGGAATGACTTCTGTCTTTCACTCTGCACCCCTAAATTGAGAGCCAATTGTGCAGAACTGATAAAAGCATACAAAGCCACATTATGATCTGTGTAGCACTCATGTTAAATGAATTTATCTTACCTGTTCGCAGCAAATTTATTTGAAATGAAACCACCTGGAATTTGTGTCACAATATAACCCCAGAAAAAAGATCCATGGATAAGGCCCACCGTCTCTGGGTCCCAGTTAAATTGTGCTGTCTGGAAATGAGAAATCAGATACACTTGGTTTGTAAGAAAACACTTGCCTGTCATCATTCACTGATGGTCCTATATAATAACCCTACAAAGTCTGTCTTTCCCTCCTTTTTTTTTTTTCTTTTTCAAAAAAATTTATAAAGCATTTATTCATTTGGCTGCACTGAATCTTAGTTGCAACCTTCAGGATCCTTCATCGTAGCATGCAAGTGGTAAAGAACCTGCCTGCCAATGCCAGAGACATAAGAGACATGAGTTCAATCTCTGGGTCAGGAAGATCCCTGGAGGAGGGCATGGCAACCCACTCCAGTACTCTTACCTGGAGAACCCCATGGACAGAGGAGCCTGGTGGGCTATAGTCTATAGTGTCTCAAAGAGTTGGACACAACCGCAGTGACTTGCCATCACCCACATGAACTCTCAGTTGCAGCATGTGGGATCTAGTACCCTGACCAGGGATTGAACCCTGGCCCCCTGCATTGGGATTGTGGAGTTTTAGCCACTGGACCACCAGGGAAGACCCTCTTTCCCTCCTTTAAATTCAGCAAATATCTTTTTCATTTTTTAATTTGCATTGGGGTATAGCAGATTATCAATGCTGTAATAGTTTCAGGCGAACAGTGAAGGGATATTCAGCAAATATTGATGGGGGGCCTCAACGGCAGCAGGGTCACAGCAAAGTCCTTGTCACTGAGCTCAACTCCTAGTGAGAGAAAGGAGCGACCGTGAACAAGTTAAAACAGAATGATGAAGGCTAAGAAGAAAATAAAACAACTTGTAAAGAAAACAAAAGGTAAATTCTAGGTTTACTGGGTTATTTAGGTACCAGTTTAGTCAGAGCACCAAGGGAATGACAGTCATGCCTCTCATTTCTTTATGAAGATAATAAAACCTACCTACCCATAGGATGTCTGGGGATAAATGCCATGAATATTTCTAGTAGGTTATTGCTCTGCTTAGAGATTTTTGCATTTAACACCTTAGGATAATGCCTGGAGCACAGTGTAGACTCAGCAAATGTTAGCAGCTATTGTTGTCGTTATGATGATGACAATGGCAAAAAAACCCCTTACACAACTCTCAGACCGTCGAAGCCTTCCTCACTTTCTTTCCCAGCAAAGAAACTCACCCTTTCCAGATTCCTTACAAATCTCCCTCCTCTGAGGAAGCTCTTCAGCTGCCCTGAATTGAAGTGCTCACTTTTCCTAGGCCTTGGTCCACAGACCAAGTTCTTGCAGTCATGGCACCCACCCTGTTCTCAAACTAGCCTGTCACGCGTCCACTTCCCCCTGAGGTGGCAGGTGACTCTCAGGTGGCAGCTGTGTCCTTTTGACTTTATAACCTCTGTACCTAAAACAACTGTCTACAACATAGAAGATGCAAGTAAAGATTTGCCAAATGAATGAATGGCTTTGTAAAGCATTGGTATCAAAATCCAAGATGTTCCTGTTATGGAGTAAGAGTTCTTAATTATCAACATAGAACCTTTTATGAACTTTCATCACATTTTGTTTTCCGATCACAAACTGTCGTGTACTTATTTGCTCGTTTATTCAATATGCACCTTCTGCTTCCTGTGCACCAGGTCAGGTGATCGTATAAATACAAACTCAAGCATTGCCTTTGCCTTCTAGGAGATCACAGTGCAGGTAATATTGGCCCGTGTTCTGCACTGTCGTTCCCATTTTGCAGACAAGGAAGTTGAGGCTCAAAAGTAAAATGAAACTAACCATCATTTATTCAAATCACTTCACCAAATTCTTATTTTATGCCACTATGTGCCACACATTGTACTAGATACTGGGCACAGAGCAGTGAACAACTGTGATTGCTGTTTTCACACAGATGTCAGTGGGGATGGCAGGAAGTGTACAGGTATATACCGTGTTAGACGGCAATCAGTGAGGAAGAAAGAAATGTGAACCGAGAAGGGGATAGAAAATGTTGGGTAGGAGTGAAGTAGGGAGATATTTTACATAGAGTGGTCAGGGAAGCTTTCACTGAAGAAATGACTTCTGAGCGAACTCCTAAAGGAAGAAAGGTAGCAAGTGATGCTTCTCCTTATCGGAAGAAATTGCTCTCTAGACAAAGGAATAGCGAGTGCAAAGGCCCTGAGATAAGGATACACTTGTGTGTTAGACGAACAGCCAGATGTCAGAGGAGTTGGAGGGTGACGGGTGAGGAAGAGAATAACAGGCATTAAAATAGGAGAGATTCAAGTGATGAAGGGCCTTCTGTCACCATAAGGTCCTTGACTTTTACTCAAAGGGAGATGGAAGCACTGAGCCGAAGAAGGACATGACTTTAAGTCACTCTCCATGTTTTCCCTCTTTACAATACCGGGAGTTAATTACGTCATTTTCTATAGAAGAGGAAATTGAGATTAATTTACTTGCCCCAAGTCAAAGAACTAGTTGTAAAGAAAACCAGGACCAAGACCTCTTACCAAAAAACTATATTCTTTCCATTGCTGTGGAGACTTGACTTTCTCACTAAGAAGTAGAGACTAGACTTCCCCTGCCATGAGTCACAGAATGCCCCCAAGAAAATAAGGATCCAAGACCGAGGGAGCCACTTCGTTCAACAACTAACTGTCAATCACAGGGTCCCTTGCTCATGTCCTTCCCTCTGAGAGAATGGTGCTTCTTTCCATGTGGACAAAGTTACCTACAGAAAAGTACTTGTGCCTGCCGAGAACTGACTTTCACTATCATTGAGTCCATGAGAATAATAATGGTCCTATGTATGAATTCTTAAAATAAGCCAGGTTCTATGTCAGAGATGGTATTAGGCTAAAAAAATGGTCCCCAAAGATACATGCACAAAACCCCCAGAATCTATAGATGCTGTCTCATATGATAAATTCAAGGATCTCAAGGTGAGTTTCTCGGGTTTATCTAACTGGGCCCTAAATCTGATGACGTGTCCTTGTAAGAGAAAGGCAGGGGGAGACTTGAGACATAAGAGAAAAGAAGGCCATGTGAAGATGGAGGCAGAGACTAGAGTGATGCTGCTACAAGCCAAGGAATGCTTGGAGCTGCCAAAGCTGCCAAAGGCAAAGACGGATTCTCCCCTGGAGCCTTTGGAGGGAGTGTGACTCCCTCCAAAGTCAAGCTGGTTTCTAGCCTCCCTGACTATGACAGACTATGTTCCCATTGTTTTTAAGCCACATGTTCTTGGTCATTTGTTATAGCAGCCATAGGAAAGTAATAGAGGTGTTTAATATATTGGTACCAGATTATCTCATTTGATCTGCAAATCAGGCCTTTTATTCTCATTTCACAATACAGCAAGGAGACTTAGTAAAGAATCTCTAGAAATGCCAGTTCCTACCTCCCTGCTCACATTTCCTTCTAAGAGGATTCTCCTCCTCTCCTCAGTGCCAAGGGCCTCTCCCCTGTGACTGCGGATGGACACCTGAATAGAGGGAGCCAACGTGTAGGCTGGACTCAGCCTGCCTGTCTGTCTCTCTCTCTCTTCTTTCTCTTTCTATCTCTCTAATCTGAAGCCAGAGATTCTAGTGAGACAATACTGCACACTTGAAGCAAGCTCCACTGGAATCAGGGCCAAGTAAGCCAGCCCCCCAGCAAGGCAATGGCTTGAGGGACTTCTGCTTTGGAGAGCAGTGAGATTTGTTTGAAAAAACAAAAGCAGTCCATGGAGAGACCTGGGAGAATGGAGCCGGCTCAGAGAGAAGCAGGTGTAAGACCCTGAAAGGCCAGCAAGTCGGAGAGTAAGCTGAGGAATTCCTAGTTCCCGTGAGGTCCGGCTCCCTCTGCCCCTCCTGACTCCCCCTCCTCCCCACAGTGCGGCACCCCCTGGATCTCAGCCCCACCTCAGGCTGGCGCCCTCGTCTGGGGCACAGACTGCACAAGCGTGCAAAGCAGACAGCTTCCCAGCCTTCACCTTCCTGAGATCCCCTAGAGCCCTACAGTCATGTCCTTTTTAACTTGAGCTGGCTCCCATTTCTGTTCTTTGCAACCGGCAGTCCTGACCAGGACAGAAGGGCAACTTGCTCAAAGTCCCAGAGCTAATAAACAACAGAGTCAAGTTTGAAACCAGGTCCGGCAGATTCCAAAGCCCGATTCTTCTTAACCTACAGGAGGTTGGATTTTCCCTGAGGGTAGTGAGAACTAACCTCCAAGTTTCTCAGACTTCAGTCATTTATTGTTTACCACATGCCAGACATTGTGCTAAGTGATTCACATGTCTTAAAACTCATAATTATTAAACTAAAAAATGATTATGATTCACATATCAACTGAAGCTACCATTTATACGACTAGCAGAATATATGCCAGTTATTTGCAAGGCCTACCTATTTATACCCGGAGTAGGAAATGGAACCCACTCCAATATTCTTGCCTGGAAATTTCCATGGACAGAGGAGCCTGGCAGGCTATACAGTGTATGGGGCTGCAAATAGTCAGACATGACTGTGCAACTGAGCACACACACCTATTCACACCACTAACTTTTCTCCCTCTATTGAAAATGAAGATTTTAAAATATCTCAGTGCAAAATACCTAGTTTTTCTCCCATAAAGCCAACCAAACAAAATTACCAGCCATTGAGAGGCTTTCTTAGTACAATTAGTGAAATGTTTGTCATTGGTTTGGACATGCTCAGATGATATGTAAGCTTTGTTCTGTTTGAATAAGAGAGAAATGGCCTGCTATAAATTGGAACTTCTGAAATGCTACTAAACTCTTACTTATGAGTCCAGAGAAAATGATATAAAGCATATTTTAGATCTTAATCAGTTTCTCTAAGACTCCAGAGGGCAAAACCATAGAAACTAGAGTGCACACACAGCATTGTTCCTTAAGTTTATCAAAATGCCTTTTCCATTTGCCTCAAAGCAAATTCTGTTGACCTAGGCCTATCCTTTCATGCAACAAACAAATGCAAACCAGCATCTCATTTTGATCCAGGCCTTAGCAGACAAGTTTAATTAGCTGCCTTTCCTCACAAAAGGCTGCCAGAATGCATGTGATACACATCTGAAACCTCATTAATGTCCATCATTCTTTATTTTTAAAATGTATGACATCCCTTTTACACCTCTACTGCCCTCCCTGCCCCTCTCCCCAAAATAAACAACCAGGATATCCTTTTAAAAACAGATTCAACTGTGGCATAAAAAAGAGAATGGTTAGAAGAATCTCCATGGTACCCTTTTCTTCTGGTAGAATAATCTCTTAGTTAAAAAAGAAAAAGGGTGGGGGAATCTGCAGGCCAACTAAAGACTTCTTTTTAATGAACAGAAATTAAATTTTCACTAACCAGTATTTGGCAGAAACTGTTCCAGGTAATGCTGATAGACACAGCATGAAGGAAAGCATTCTGCAGTTAAGCCCAGGAAATAATGCACACCACAGCCCCCTCTTGGAGACTCTCACAGGACGCAGCACAGTAAAGGTTCCTAGTTCATATGATCCTTCTTTAAAGCACAGCCTATAGAACAGTGGTGTCCAGACACCAGTTTGGGAAACTCTGATCTAAATGTTTTCCCAAACATGGGTAGGGACTGACAAACTGTGAGAAGTCTCTCTGCAAGAAAGGAACCCTCCTGCACTGTTGGTGGGAATGTAAATTGGTATAGCCATTATGGAGAACAATATGGAGGTTTCTTAACAAACTAAACATAGAGCTACCTTATGACCCTGCAATCCTACTCCTGGGCATATATGTGGAGGAAAACATGATCTGAAAGGATACATACACCCCAATGTTCACGGCAGCAGTTTTACAATAGGCAATACGTGTGTGCGCGTGCGCGTGTGTGTGCGCGTGTGTGCGTGTGTGTGTGTGTGTGTGTGTGTGCACTTAGTCACTCAGTCATGTCCAACTCTTTGCAACCACATGGACTGTCGCCCACCAGGCTCCTTTGTCCATGGGGATCTCCAGGCAAGAATACTGGAGTGGGTTACCATGCCCTCCTGCAGGGNTGGTGCACTGGGATGACCTAGAGGGATGGGATGGGGAGGGAGGTGGGAGGGGGGTTCAGGATGGGGAACACATGTACACCCGTGGAGGATTCAAGTCAATGTATGACAAAACCAATACAATGTTGTAAAGTAAAATAAGTTAATAAAAATAAATTTAAAAAAAAAGACATGGAAGCAACCTCAATGTCCATCAACAGAGAAATGGATGAAGATCATGTGTACATATACATGATGGAATATTACTCAGCCATTAAAAAGAATGAAATAATGCTACATGCAGCAGCAGGGATGGACCAAGAGAGTGTCATACTGAGTGAAGTAAATCAGACCAGACAGAGAAGGAGAAATATGACATCCCTTATACATGGAATCTGAAAAAAAAGATACGAATGAACTTACTTATAAAACAGAAAGAGACTCACAGACTTAGAAAATGAACTATGGTTGCCAGGGCTCAGGGAGAAGGGGTAGTAGGCACTTTGGGAAGGTCATGTACACAGTGCTAGAAGTCTCTCTGCAAACAGATGGATTTCCACACGCGTCACTCCAGTGTGTGCATTCAACACAATGAAACAGATATATTGGGTATCCACCGGGCATACGTTTTTGTTTTATTCTCCCATAATCTCAATACTTTTCAAGGCTTATCATTTAAGAAACAAACCAGATTTCATCTTTTCAGTGATTCATGAAAGTAGTACTGTTTAAGTGACATCACTATAGGCTTGCTTATGACCACGAGAGCCTTTGAATGGGGCCTTGTGCTTCTGTTCACTGCGGTCCTGAGCCACCGGGAGATGGCTGGCTGGACAGCGATCGTCCTGGAGTATGGATCTGATGGTACCATCTCTCTGCTTAAAGCCCACGCCTGACTCCCCTTAGACTTGCTGGGCTCTCCATGACCTAACCCCACTTTACCAGTTACCTCCTTCTTCTGATGCTTACCTCATTCTATTCTTTTACCAGGATTCTTAACTGGTGTCTGTGGATGGAATCCTGTGGATCTATGAACTTGGATGGGCAAAAGTCAGCATCTTTATTGCTACTAACTAATAAAGCAGCATTTCCTATAATTATGAATGTAGGCAACAAACCCCAGTCATATTATCAGGACCTGTGATCCTATTACTAGAGGAAATTGTAAATATGCTCATATCCCACGATGGCTGTTGCCATTATCTCAAACTACTGTTCACTGTTCAAACAGCAAAATTACAGAAATTATTAGACCCTTTGCTAGATTTTGTCATCTGATGTGTTCATAAAGAAAGCCATATGTTTCTATATCACAAATTCAATTCTTCAATAGTTTGTTACCTGTATTTAAAATAATTGGCTTCCTTTGTGATCCTATGTGTTTTTTAAAGTTTTTTTTAAATTTACTATCTATTTAGGCTGCACCATGTGGCATGGGGGATCTTAGATCCCCGACCAGGGCTCAAACTCTCATCTCCTGCAGTGGAAGTGCAGAGTCTTAACCACTGGACCACCAGGGAAGTCCCCTATGTGTTTTACTTTAAGAATTTAAAACATTAATACAGTTGTTGCCAAAAGACATTGACATAGACATAGACAGACACTGACCTGAATTTTTGGTTTTCCATCAACATACACAGTGCTGTTATTGACCATTTCCACAATGGCAACTCCAAGATTGCACCGAATCCCAAAGGAGATGCAGAACCCCAGCCCACTCATAATAGCAATGATGTAGCGCTTGGGGACCCCACAGCAGTGGCAGTCACAGAGTGGGGGCCTCTGCCTGGACGTCTGCACTGGCCTCCCTTCTTCATTCAGCTCAATGTTACCTTCTTCCTCATGGGTCCCATCAATTTTCCTACAGCGGACAAACGGGCAGGGAAGAAAGACCAGGATTACAAAGTGTAGTAGGCAACGAGAAAAATTGTACCAAGAAAGAAAAAGGAAAACCCAGAGTAGGATGCATCCTGCATGTTTTAGCATCATCATCATCATTATTACTAAAATAAATTATAGTGGTTAAGATTTATTGATTCTGGATATTGTTGCTGCACCCTTATAGACATTAATTTATTTTAATCTCATAACAGCTACACAAGGTAGATAGTGTTATCTTGTCCATTTATAGACAAAAAAACTAAGTCCTCTGAGATAGGATGCAAGTTCAAGTCCAGAGTTTGTATCCTCAACAATATGCCTTACTGAATATCTGAATATCCTGCTGAAAGAGTATCTATAAACTTCATCCACATGGCATGACCCAGCTGACTATTATGTTTGACTTTAATTTTAATGTCACTTGAAGCCTGATAAAAGATATACAGTAAAAAATCAATTTATTTTCAGATTCTTTTTTCTTCTTTTTCTAAGTCTTATGAAAATACTAGGTAAGGACGTACATTTTCCATCACAGCACAAACCAGCTGGTTGTGTATCTGTTCTTTCTTAAGTGGTTCTAAGGTGATTCTCTGGCACTCTTTAAACAGAGGGCATGATTTCTCATTGAGTCCCATAAATTCAGATTATGGTAGTCCATCCATTACAGTGAATTTACTCTCTTCTTAAAAAAAAAAAAAAGTAATTGGGCAAACTGAACAACTATCTGTCAATAATAAAAGGAGCTGTTTGCATCATCACACGTATCATAACCCTTCTGAAGATACCCAATTAAGTTCTGAGTCTTTGTGAAGATAATCAAAGCTTATATGTTTTCAAGAGTATCATATTCACTAATAGCTAATACAATGTCTAACAGACTACGTAGAAGCACGAATAATTTGCCCACCAATTCATAGTAGAGATCATCTTAGTAGCTTCTTAGACGCAAGCACATGAGATTAAAGCACATGGAGAGAGAGCATGGGGTTGCAGAGAGTCGGACACGACTGAGCAACCGAGCTGAGAGAGCGCAAACACTGGATTTAATTCAGCTCATCAAACGTTTACTGAGTGCCTGCGGCGTATCAGGCCCTGTACTGAGTGTGACAGAAGGAGAAAGAAGTGACACGGCTTCTGATCTCCTTCAGCTCTTAGAGCAAGAAAGACGCGTACACAGTTGTGATTGCTGGATGATGTAGGTTTTCTTGAAATCAAGGTGAAGTGCAGTGATAAAACAGGAAAGGAACTTTCAATTTTAATTTATGAGGTCAGAATGGTAGCTTAATAAATATGCAAGAATATGAAAGTAATCAGAAGAGAACATCATCAACCTCCCCAATGTGCTTCTGTAACCTACCTGCATGTATACTGATGTGTTCTACGTTTTCTTCTATGATTGTCTTCCAAGCTTCTAGATAAGGCCAACCTCTTTCCCTGGGTACTAGATCTTATTGCCTCTCATGTATTCAAGGAAATCCCTATCCACATATTTCATCAATTATTTACTCCTCTCTACTAGAACATTCTTACTGTCTACAAATACGCCCTTATTTGTTGCACATCAACATTTAAAATAAAAACATGTTCTCTTTCAGCTACCTACCTATTTCTCACCTCCCTTTTATAGAAAAACTCAGAAGTCACTGTCTCACTTCCCTTTGTCCCACTCTCTCTTGGACACACTCCAAACAGGTATATCCCCCAACCTGGTCCACCAAAACTGCTCTTGGGCTGTCAATGCCCTTCACGGGGTTCAGTTCAGTTCAGTCATTCAGTTGTGTCTGGCTTTTCGTAACTCCATGGACTGCAGCACGCCAGGCTTCCCTGTCCATCGCCAACTCCTGAAGCTTGCTCAAACCCATGTCCATTGAGTCAGTGATGCCATCCAACCATCTCATCCTCTGTCATCCCCTTCTCCTCCTGCCTTCAGTCTTTCCCAGCATCAGGGTCTTTTCCAGTGAGTCAACCGAGTCCACATGATTCAGCCCAAAGGCTCTTTCCAGTCCTCATCTAGTTGACCTGTCAGCAGCACTTGACACTACTGATTATTCTTTCTTCCTTGACGACTTTGATTCCTTCATGGATACCACGCTCACTTGGTGGTCCTGCTAATCCCCTGAACACTCCTGTTTTGTCTCTGAAGCTGATGTGTTACTTCCTCAACCTGTAAACCTGGGATGCTCAGGGCTCAGTTTATAGATCTCTTTTGTTTTCTGTCTGTACTTTCTAGGTGACCTCACTCATCTCTGGGCTTTAGACACCATGCATATGCTAACAGATTTCAATTTTCATATCTAGATTTATTTGACATCTTTGTGGACACATGATCAGCATCTCAAATCTAACATATCCAAACTGAGTTCCTCTAAAAAAAAAGCTAATTCTTGAAGCTTTTCACATTTCAAGTAAAGACAATTTTGTTCCTTTGTTTGCTCAGAAAAAAAAAAAAACTTGGGTGACATCCTGGATGCATCTCTTCTCCAATCTCCATCCAATCTATGCATCACGTCCCTTAGTTTGAATTTTCACTCTTCCATTTACTTAGCTGTGTGGCCTAGTTAACCTCTCTGAGCTCTCTTCCCAGGAGGCACTAGTGGTAAAAGAACCCGCCTGCCAATGCAGGAGATGTAAGAGACATGGGTTCGATCCATGGGTCGGGAAGATCCCCTGGAGGAGGGCATGGCAACCTATTCCAGTATTCTTGTCTGGAGAATCCCATGGACAGGGGAGCCTAGTGTGCTGCAATCTGTGGGGTCACAGAGAGTTGGACATGACCTAGGAACTAAACAACAACAGCATAGATCATTTAGAGCAGAACCTAACATGTGCCCACTATTTTTATCACATTAATCCTCATAACCACTTAATGAGTCCATTCTGCTAGGATGAGCATAAATGCCATTTACTGCCATTCATATTGATATCTAAGAGCTATTCAGATCATAAGACTCTATATAAATGTGCAGCCTCAATAGTATCCATGAGTTTCTGGCGTGAATGAATATGATACTTATCTTATAGACCTGTGGTTAAGAGTAAATGAATTTCTACCACCAGACAGTTGATTTGAGTGGTAGCACAGTGTAATGATTAAGAAAGATGGGCACAACATGTCTGGTCTGAAACCCAGCTCTGCCACTTACAAGCTGTGTCGCCTTGGGCAAATTACTTAACCTCTCTGTGCCTCAGTTTTCTCATCTGTAAAACTGTGATTATAATTGGCCCTCCCTCATAGGGTTGTTAATAGAATTAATGGTACCTGGAACATAGTGTTTATTACTCTCATTTACTACACATAAGCAATTAGAGAACATTCATCATTTAAGCTGAAAAAAGTCTGTATATAAGTTTCTGGACATTAATTTCCAAATGCTATGCCTTCTATCTGTTCCAATAGTGGACGATAAGTGAACGCATCATCTTTCTTCCTACATTTCAAAAATATTAATGTACGTTTAGCTGATGAATTGCTCAGCTGCTTCTTATCGATTGCTCTCCAGGGAGACTAAGTGTCTGGCTGTAATCAGCCCCATGTGCGAACTTCAGATACTTCTCTATGCATTTACCTCTCCCTTGACCATAAGGAATACGCCAGAGTTCAAAAGCATACAGAAAATTCCATTTAGATGATGATCTCAGTAGTAAACATTATTAGACATCTATGATTTATACTGACTACTAAGTTAGAAAGTCAGGATTCTTCACTCCCCAATGTTTCTGCCCCTTACAAAACAGAAAACATTTCTTTATGACTTTTTTCCTACACTGGATCCTGTCAACTGGTTTTATGTAAAAATCAACGAGGGGAAGAAACATCCATTACATACCAGGTTCTGGGCAAAGCATTATATATATAGACTTGAGGTTAACACCAAGTATTAAAACCAGCAAAGCTGTCTTTGCTGGAGGAACCCTAATTCTGGAGCTCTGCTCAAAGACCACTAGAGTTGAGGATCAGTTCAGATCGCCAGTCAGCTAATGCCTACCTCTGCCAATAATTTCTCTCTAGGGATCACTGAAAGACGAGGTATGAATTTGGCTTTATTCTAAACTCAATCATTCTATAATTACGACAACAATGATAACATCTAGCATTATTTAGTGTGCTCTCTATCTAGAACTATGATAGCAGGGNTTTTTTTTTTTTTTTTTTTTGATTGTTCAGTGAGCCAATTCTGAGAAAACTCTTCAGAGTAATAGACACATAGCTTAATTTGGGGTTGAAGTCTCACAACTTGAAAATTACTGATTTTGTTATATCCCTAAGCAAACCAGTCTGGTAAACAAAAGGATATTCAAGTGGCTCATTCAATCAAACATAGTAAAATAAGCACTTAGGATTGAGAAAAGTGATTAAATTTTAAAAAGCAGCTAAAGTTAAAAAAGAATACTCCTAAGTATTTAGATAAAGCTAAATAGTTGTCATCACTTGAATATGTCAATTAAGCCACAGTGCTTCCTTTTGCATTTTTAATCAAATGAAAACATTACCTGGGAGTGCTTGACAGAGGAATAAAACACTCTTAAAAGAAAATGTTATTATAATCATTTCCTGTGTTTAGCTGGTTTATCCTGCTGTCACTGAGGTAGGTTTTCATTTATACACAATAATTCAGTGTAGTTCTGACTGAAACTTTTTGTTTTTAATTACCAAAGTAATAAGGTGCCCAACCCAGTTCTCTTGCTAAGCTCACCAAAGGGATACAGTGGAAAAATTAACACTGGCGGGAGCCTGTGCATTGCAAAACACAAGAAGTGGAATGAATCTGTGGGCTAGTTTTTAAATTTATGAGAAAACATAGATAGAAAAGTTAAAAGCAGATACCAAGGGAAATTTTCATTCATCATAATTAGAAATAATGATAAAAATTTTATCAAAGTTATTCTCACATTTATTTATATCAAAGAAATTAAAAGAATCATTTTACCTTGCACATAAGGACTGCTTATTAATTCATTTATAAAACCTAGGAGGGCATTTACTATGTCTATTTTAAAAATCACAAATTAAATATCACATCAATTCATTCATTTATAGCAAATTCTCCTTCCAATAATAATATATTTTACTTTAAAAAAAGATCTATTTTTTTGTTTGGACAAAAACATTCAATCCAATGACACCACTTAACACTTTCCCATTTAATCATGTAAGATTTTCTGCTTTAAATACTAATTTTTAAAGTTACTTTCTTCATACTATTGTGCAATAATCCTTCTCTTTGAAAACTACACAATCAAGAACCCTTTCATACAGTTTATATTACAAGCTATACAATTTGAAAATACCTAACTTTCATTTACAGTGAAAAATTCTTAAAAATTATTTCAACTCAAAGCATAACCATGTAAAGCAGTTCCTGGTTTTGTTGTTACTATTGAATTAACATAAAGTGTTATATCCCCAAATATTTTCTAATTCATTGACAAACACACAACTTGCAATATTACTGTGTCCAATAAGTGCTAATCTTGCTGCATGTTGTGGTGTTTTCCTAATTCAACCTTATCCTTTTGATGCATCTTCTTTTCCTCCAGGTATAGTCTGTTGGAGCTGGAATGGGCTCCAGAAGCCCTTTATTCTGACCCTCCCACTCCTTTTTAAAATGTAGCTTTAAAAACAGGAGGCAAATTCTTTCAAACACCAGCAGCAATGTGAAACTACTTTGAAATAAACCTAAAGTTTGCATTCAAACTTTACCTTTGTAAAATCCCCAACGAATCTCCCACAGTGTTCTTCACGCCCTCCTTTCCAGGTTTCAAAATTTTTTCTTTGAAGGTAGCAAATGCTTTAAAAGGCATTGTGAGACGGGGGTACCTCCAAGCCTTCAACAGTCAGTCTCGGGAACTCCCATCCTTCATTTCCA